CATTGAAAAACAAGGAACTCATGCAATATTATTTAAAATGGGTGACCTTGGAGGACATTATGCTGAGTGAAATATCTCAGTCACAAAAGGACAAAAACTGCATAGTGCCACTGTAGAATGGGGCTGATATAAGGGTGGGGGTAAGAATGAGAAAAACTGGATGAATTATGTATACTGCATTGAAACAGATGAGGGAGAGAACAGTTTAAAAGCAATATATTATAGGGCATTATGATGATCATAAGAGTCCAGAATAAAGGTTGCAGAGTGGAGTATACTCAGGGTGGAGGTGGGGTGTGGGACGATTGTATACCAATGAAGGAATTTTTCTTTTACTTTTCAAAGAGAAGAGTTAACTGGGGGTGGGGAGAAAAGTGCAACAATGAAAGAATGGAAATCCAAAATCTCTGTAAATGTTCATTGAAATTAATTAAAAAAATCCTCACCACCGAGCCATTGGCAATGTCATGATAGATTGAAGTTCTCAATAATTTTGGTTGGATCCACTATTAGCATACTTGGTACCAGCAGTCAAGAAATCAAAAGTATTGCATTGGGAAGATTAGCTGTCAAGAATTTCTACAAAGTGCTATGGAACAATGATGTCAATTTAAAATTAAAGAGAAGCAAGGATGGTGAATATTTGTCTTACATAAATTGAGCATGTTGTTTGGAGGAGTCAGTCCTTGAAAAAAGATATCATGCTTGAGTATGTGCAAGGTCAGCAAACAGAAGAAGGCCCTCAACAAGATGGTTAACAAAGATTGTAACAATGGGCTCCAGTTTGTGAGAGGAAGAGGGTGGTACAGGATGATAGGGCAAGGTTCAGATCATTTGTTTACAGTGTTGGTATGAATCATAATCCATTCAAAGGCATCTAGATCCCACAGGCAAATAAAGTAATTCCATTTCAAAGGTGGATGGTTCAAATCTACCAGCTGGTCCCCAGAAGATGAGCAAATGTTCTCTCATACAATTTATAGTCTCTGAAATCCTGTTCAAGAGTCATCTATGCTTCGGTTGCAACACTAAGGTAATGTTCTGAGTTTGATACCACTTTTCACAAACTACTGATGTTTAGCATGTTGGGTCCAAAAAAGTAATCCTGTTACTCTTTCTCCTCTTCTTGATTGATAATCTCAAGGTCAGGGTGACCAAACTGAGTGTGGAAACTACAGAACAATATCATTGATTTCACATGCAAGCAAGATTCTACTGAAGATTATCCAAAAATGACTGGAACAGTACATC